TGTTATCGTAAGATTTTTCTACTGTTTTATTCATTTCTAGAAAAGGCCTTTTTTGTAGTCAAGGATGGAAAGGATCAAGTGAGTTCTCCTCTCTGTCTTTAGAACACAGTCATGATTGCTGAGAATAGCAAGGCACTTGTTTTTCTATTCATTCCTCATCAGAGCAATAATGTGCGAGTTCTGCTTGCTTAAAGGACTATGTTTACCCAACTCTTTCAGGCTTGATTTTGTCATCCTGTCAACTGAAAGAAGTAGCATTTCTCTGACATCCTTCTACGGCTGAACAAAGCAGAAAGGCCAGGAGCATCCTATAATAGGGTTTTGGTGTGTCAGTGGGACTTCATGATCCCCTGATCCTTGAGACTCCATTTCTCTTGCCAAATCCTGGGAAGCGGGAGCATGCTTTCAATGATTATCCAGGTAGTCTAGCTGCAGGCATCACTAAACCAGTCCCAGCTCATGCAGCATGCTCTGTGGTAGATGAGCTGGAACCTTGGTCTTCAAGGTTTAGACTCTACTAAGTGAGAAACAGCAGATGAGTAGGGAGTTTCTCGTGAATTTCTCGTGAAAATTATATTGGTTGGTTTCACCATTGCAACCTTCTGTTCTGAAGTAAAAGGTGAACATAACAAGCCATGATTCCTGACTGTTCTGTCTTGATTTAAAGAATTAACTCAGGGCTGACTTCATCTTGCTACTTTAGATTAACTGAAATGGCTTTTAATAATCACATTTCCTATTAATAGCTTTACTGTACTAGAGAAGCTAAATCAATATATAATTTAACGGCTTGTCTTGCCAAGGGCATTATTGATTTTGTCTCTAATGATGTTGAAATGATATGCTGTTATGCAAATGATATCTATTCTAGGTGTCTTTAGAAAGGCATATGTGGATATTTTCTTTTATATATATATATATAGTTTTTCATATCTCAGTTGCCAAATGCTGAAATATTTTCAGAGAATTCTGATCCTGATGAATAAAGATGCTCCAATGATAAATTTCAAACAAGTTTTATGGGCTATTGTAGCTATCGTCTTGGGGTATAGAAAATAAAGCTATTGCAATATGTTCTAGTTTCATTTCTGTTACTATGATTAAGTACCCTGACTACAAGCAATGTAGGGGACGAAGGGTCTGTTCTTACCTTAGCATTCCAGGCTACAGTCCATTATTGCAGGGAAGTTGAGGCAGAGATTTAAGCAGTTAATCACATCACACCCACAATCAAGAACAGAGAGAAACAAATGCACCCCCACTACCTGCTTATTATTTCCAGCTTTCACTTCTGTGACGTAGTTGAGTGCCCAGCCCATGACATGTACGGGGTCTTTCCACCTCAATTAACAATCAAGACAGTCCCCCACAGATATTCCCACAGTTCAACCTGACCTGGGTGATTCCTCCATTGAAACTTGGGTCCCAGCTGCTTCAAAGTTGTATCAAGTTGACGACTAGGCTAGACTGTATCCAGTTGGCACTTAAGACTAACTAGCACATGATGGTAGAAGAAGACCTTCTGCAGTGATAACAAATAAAATGTCAGTGGGTGATTCGGGGGTACTGCATAAATTGTCATATTATCACTTGGGCGTAAATCAGTGTCTCTCTTATACACTGGCTCTCTAGAAAGGCTACTGCATGTATATGAACTAGGCTTTCTTTGTTTCTTTAGTACAATTATATCTGTGACACTGTGCGACTGGGAACACTGTATGGGTCATATAATAAGAAGTAAAAGCATTGCAACCTGACTTGTTATCCTGGGGGCTTCCAAGTGTGATGCTCCCTACTGTGAAGGGCCTTTACAATGAATGCTGAGCATCAGTTCGAAGGACAATAACTACCACGGCGCTTTTGGTTTCCTTCACATTTCCTTGCCTGTTCTCATGACATTGCTTGTTTCAGGACAGATTTTCAATCCCAGTTTAAGATTGCAAAAATGAAAAATAGAAATTAATACCTAAAGAACAAGTTTGTTAAGAAAAGGAAAAGAGAAAGAGAGAACTTTGGTCAAATTTTGAATGGTAAATTTAATCTAACCTAAAATAACAGATACTGTCTAATTTTCAGAAAGAAACTACATTTCCAGAATTGCTGCATATAAGCCCTCTTGGGCTTCTTATAGTATTTTGGATTTTCCAAATGTAAATTAACAACTAAATATCCCAAACTGTCAGGTCAACTGACTTTTTTTTTTTTTTGCTGCTTTTTTTTTTGTTTAATTTATTAATTCATTGGTTTTTTTTTTAAGACTCTCTTTTCTCATTTTACATATGAATCCCAGTTTTTACTCCCTCTACCTTCTCCCATCCCACCCCTATTCACTTCTCAGAAAGAGTAAAATTTCCTATGGGTAGTCAACAAAGTCTAGCACATTGCCTTGAGGCAGGACCAAAGCCCTCCCCACTATATATAGACTGAACAAGTTATTCCTCCAAAGAGAATGGGTTCAAAAAAGCCAGTACAAGAAGTAGGAATAAATTCTGGTCTAACTGCCAGTGGCCCCCATAATCTGCCCCACATTCAGAGGGTCTAGTTTGGTCCTATGCTGATTCCCTTACTGTCAGACCAGAGTTGGTGGACTCCCATTAGCTCAGGTAAGCTGTTTCAGCGGGTATTCCCATCACGGTCTTGACATCTTTGCTCTTTTTCTCATTCCTCCCACTCTTCAGCAGGACTTTGGGAGCTCAGCCCAGTACTCTGCTATTGGGTCTCTGCTTCTGCTTCCATCAGTTGCTGGATGAAAGTGCAATGATGACGTTTAAGATAGTCATTTATCTGATTACAAGACAAGGCCAGTTTGGGCACCCTCTCCACTATTGCTTAGGGTCTTACCAGGGGTCATCCAGTGGGTTCCTGGGAATTTCTCAAGTGCCAGGTTTGTATACACACACACATACACACATGTAATATGTAATATATATTAAATAGGTGGAATCTAGAAACATGCTCTAAAAATTAGGCAGGAGCTGTGTGTATATGTATATATACCATACTCTTGATAGTTTTATTAATATCTACACTGAAAGAGATTATTGTTAACAAGAGTTATTTCTAGCTGTTCACCTGTTGTGGTCTTTGGAACACAAATGAGCCCTGGCTTCTCGGGAGGGATACATTGGGATGCAAGTGTCATGCATGTTCTGTAGGTGGGAAAGGGAAGGACAATACGAGGCTCCAAGGTCTGGTCTCCGTTTCCCAATGTTGAACCTACAAAGAAAGAGTTAGACATTTGGAACAAGGGGCTGGGAAATTCGGAGAACTTCTTTATTCTTTTCTTCATGCTAGGATAAAAGGACAAATGATCATTAGAAAGCCTGTACCTAAGTGAAACCTGGCAGATTTCATCAATGAACTAAAAGCAAGATTGTGGACACATCTCCTTCTAAAAGACTCAGAAAATGTTACCAAAATTAAAGAATCTCCATATCACTAAAACTTTCTGTTTATGTAAACCTATTGTTTCACAAACTTTAATCAGATATTATCTTAGTAAATGTTATTTTCAAAATCTTGTTAAATCAGTATTTAGGAGGCTCTGGGTAAATTATAATATATACCACGCTTAAACTTTGTTAGTTAAAAGGTAATATTAGAATAATCTATTTTCAGATTTAACAAGAGTTATGTCTGGTATCATTAGAGAAGTTTAGATTTGCATAATATTTGCACTTGTCCTGTCTACTCATCAATCATTCAGAGCCATAGGACCATAGGGCATACATTTCTGAAGGCTGGATTGCAGCAATAATTCTCCGTGAAACACCACAATGTATTTATGAAGTTGAAAAAAATATAAATGTCATAGTTTAATGAAAGCTGAAATTCAGCTTGGCACGGGATGAAAATAATTACATAAGCAGTTGTCCCCTCCCTGCCACCACACTTTTGATACGGTTGTGTGAAATAGTTTCCATCTTTAGGAATGTAAACAAAACGTGAACAACGTCCAAGGAACTTAAACAAGTTAGATTCTAAGATACCAGGGAGAAAGATAGAAGAGATTTTATTTTCCTCTGTAATGCTTTTACACATATATTATGTTAATCAAAATAAAATGTAATGATAAAATATTACACATGGGAACACACCAATTGGTTGTCTAATAGCAAATGAACATCCCTGAAAAGTTATATGTGCAAGTAACATTATGCAGATTGAGCAGGTTGTCTTTCTATATTTAAGACTATACATTAAATATAATAAAAACACGTGTATATATACATGAAAATGTATGTGTATATGATATGATATGATATTATATATGTAGAATCACATGTTATACATGGAAAAGGAGACCATGACTTTTTTTTTTTAAGAAAAGAGAAGTATATGGGAGAATCTGGAGGGAGGAGAAGGGAGAGAGAAAATAATGTAATTATGTCATAAACGCATCAAAAATTTTTAAAATATAATGCTTGCAAATAAAGTAAAACACAGAGAAGGGGAAATTACCCCACCACTTAAGATAACATGTCTGTTAATATTTTATTGTGTTTTTATTCCCTTTTTATTTGTGTATATGTTGGAGGAGTGTGGATATGTATGTATGGAGGTGTACCTGCCATGGCAAATGGGTGAAAGTCAGGGGACAACTTGCTGAAGTCAGTTCTCTCCTTCTAGCAGGTGGTTTCCACGGGTAGAACTCGACACCAGTGGGTGCCTTAGCCATGGAAACGTCTCACTGGCCCTGTTGTAATTTATTACTTTGCTTTAAAGCATTGGCTTTCAGGACACAGCTAAGACAACACAAGATTTCAATACTTTAATAAGCATTTTTTTCTTTTCTTACTAGAATCTGTTTTTCTGCTTTTCTTTCTCATGCCAATGACAAGCTTACTAATGTTGACAACTGTGCTTTGCCCAAGTTAATTCTGTGGCCCTGGGCAAGGAACTATGTTCTCGGTGACTTCTCTAACCTTGCTTTCCTCCTGCCTATGTTCCTTTGCATGCCTCTTCCCCTGTTCGTCAATTTCTGTTCTTCTCTGTTTCAGCAAAACAATTGAAGTCAAGGTAATTGATGATGAGGAGTATGAGAAAAACAAGACCTTCTACATTGAGCTCGGAGAGCCCCGCCTGGTGGAGATGAGTGAGAAGAAAGGTGGGGGAGCAGCTCCAGGGCTGAGTCCAACAGCTTCTGCTGCCTGTGCCTCCCTGGACGCCTGCATTCTTCAGAACATGACTGACAATGCACACATGCCTCCGCACGCATGTAACAGGGCATAGCGCTCACGCTGGCAGCAGCTGGCCAGAACTGTAGCTCCATGAGCCAGTTATGGCCACTGTGCACCGTGCAAGTCTGAAAGTTAATTTTGAGCAAAAATCAATCAGGCCTCCCAAGCTGAGGAAACTGGCACAGATACTTTGCCATGTCCAAATTCTAAGCCAGCTTTCTTAGTTGTGGAAGAAGCAGATGGATTTATGCAAGCAATCCATTCACACAGAAACCTCAGGGGAGACCAGTGCAGAGCAACCAAGATGCCCTTTTACATACGCCTGAAGGTCATGTGCTGCCAGTTCTCTCTCCGTAACATCATAACATTCGGCTTGGTGAACATCCAGAGCATGAGTGTGTGACTCCAACCATTTGTTTTGCCTTTGTCTTGTGTCCCCACAGGAAGATCATTACCATTAGAATATTTGATCGTGAGGAATATGAGAAAGAGTGCAGTTTCTCCCTTGTGCTTGAGGAGCCAAAATGGATAAGAAGAGGAATAAAAGGTGTGAGGGTATACACAGACATACCAGCGAGAAAGTGTCCTCTTCTCCCTCTCTTGTCTTCCTATTCTCACACTTGGCTCTCTCCTCTTCCTCGGCTTCCAGGACTAAACTCCATTGCCTCGAAGCTTAGCGGGTTCTTTCCCCGTCCCTTAGAAGTTCACCAAGCAATTCCCATTTTCTCCAGGAAGGACTGACTAACCTTGATTGCCACCAGAGTTGCTAAATATTATTAACAAATCCTGAAAGAATTTCTGTCATTCAGGAATGAGGAGATAAGAGAATGCCCTCTGCTTTCCGCCACTTCAGAGCCACTTAAAGGCGCAGCTACAAAGGTTCACTCACCCTTCAATAAAGCCTGACATACCCTGCCAATGACAGTAGAGGGAAAAGCAAGCCCACCTGAATGTTCGTAAGCAGATGAGAAGGGTGCATGGATCTCATAGCAACTTATAAGAAATTACAGAAAATTCAGTCATCAGGCTTCTTAGAGAATCTGGTTTGGGGAGGGCTTGTTTTTTTCTTTTTGTCTTTTTTATTTTTGAGACAAGGTCTCATGTAGCTGAGGATGGCCTGGAGCTGATCCTCCTGCCTCAACCTCCAAAGTACTGAGAAGTGTGTGCCAATCTGTCCAGCTCCACCCTTTAAGAAAGCAATTAATAAGAATAAGGAGCCTTAAGACTCATGCTGTCAATATGCAATGTCCTTATTTTGATATGATATCTTCTGTATCATCAAATACATCACTTAGCCGTAAAGCTAGACATGATGGCACATGCCTGTGATTCAAGTGCTTGGGAATTCAAGGAGGAGAGATGGAAAGTTCAAGGGCAGCCTGAACTACATAGCAAGATCATCTCTCAGTGGCAATAACAATAATAATAATAAACTCTAACAAATAAAGGACCCATACATATGAGACCACAGTCATATGTATGACATCAGTTTCGTAAACACTTAACCCTGACTTACACTAATCCTACCCATACTCAAAAATCTTTTGATACTTACAGAATTAATACAATTTTAATATGAATAGTAATAAGAAAAAATTGAAGTGTTATTCTTATAGTTATAAGATTTTTTAACATTTTTGTTAATTAGGTTTTGTAGGGTCTTGCAGTTTTAGAAACATTTGCAAAGAGAAGCTAATTCTGATCTGAACTATTCCCTACTTTCTAATAGATTCAATTTCAAATAGAAAAGGAGAATTTCATTTAATTTTTAAAATGTGGGGCAAGAAATGCAGTCTATATGCCCAATTCCTGTGTAGGCTTATCATTTGCAGAAATACAATCTCACATTCCAAGAACTCACTGACCTCAGAGTACATCTGAGAAAAAAAAAGTTCTTTTTCTACCATGCTTGACTTAAGCACAAAATGGCAACAGAAGTAATGGAAAAAGAATCACTTGGGAGTCATTTTAATGCAACTCATTTAATAAGTCCCATAGTCAGTAAACAGAAAGAAAAGAGACTTCAAAACAACTATGTCTTCTTAAGATGGGATCAAAGATGCCTCGTTAGCCTCTGGGAAGAAGCACTTAGTTCTGAATGTGTGCCTCCAAAGAGCTGTCTTTTATCTCAAGGAGGAGTGTCTTGGCATCAGCTCTTTTGATTGTCATTTTAGTAAAATATGCCCTCATATTAACACAAATTAAAATTCCTTGATGGTGCTGTCCTGTTTTATACCTGCCAAATGAATTTTTCTCAGTATGAGTAAGCTTACCGACATCGTTTGCCTAGGTTCCTTCTGCATCCACTACCAATATACAGGGGAAACTGGGCTGAAAACAGGCACTTGGAATATTCCTGTAGACAGTCCCGGAAGTCTTTAATTTGACTTGCATAGCAGATTAACTTTTATTAAAATTAAAGTGCTATCGTCCCAGTTGTACTTAAAGAATATAATCTAAACAGCTACATTATAGATGGGCCCACATTCCTCACTCTGTCAACTCCTCTGGAGTTCTATGTCAAGTAAAAAGCATCCAGGTCAGCTTATTAACATGTACAAGTTACTGACAAAGGCACACAAATAAATGTCTCTTTAGGGCTTCTTAGGACTTGAGAATTTAAAGAGTGTACCCGATTTTGAAGGAGTCAAAATATCTTCTAAGTAAAATATGCACAGAGATCTTTACCCAGGTCAAAATCTTCCAAGAGGGTAATATGAAGGATTTTTCTGGGGACTTTTACCTGTTAAGAAGAAATTGAGGTCTTTAGTCACTAACAACTTCCAAACATTTGATATATTAGCCCTCAGGTGGTATTTATTGGAAGAGGCCCAACCCAAACCGAGTTAAAGATTACCGTCTCCAATATTCCCACTAGATTTTGTATGCACTGTTTGCTAACAACTGTGGGAGAAATATCTTATGAGATACATAGAGACATATAATAAAAATATAAGGTGATTTTTTTTCAATCACACAGAAATTTTCCTATTGGGGTCATTTATTTGGAAATGTCCCCAACATTGCATTCAATAGGGGTGCACACATTTTTTAAGGGATGGTTTCCCCCAGTCTAGCAAAAACTGCCTGGATTTCTTTCTGCTAATATTCCTCTTTCATTATTCATTTGTTCTCTTATTCTGTGTTTGTCTCTGTCTGTTTCCTTCACAGCCGGGTTGTTGAGTGAGCTTGGTAAGCATTTCATTTCTTGCTTTTCCTTTCCATTTTCATAGCTTGTTTTCCACTTCTCTGAGATGATACCGTAACTCTGGATTATTATCTCTGTCTGTGGACTGGCCAGATGTTTGTTTAAGAATGTTGGCCTCATTTTAGTTGAAGCCAAACCATTCATATCACATTTTTAATTTAATGTATATAGACATTTTAGAGGGCCAGTGATTCCTCGAGTATTTCACAAGAACTACAATCATGCACTAAATTGCATAATCTTGAGAGAATGTGTTCAGTTATGACTGAACTTTTAATATTCTTCTTAATTATAAATCTGGCAGATTTTCATAAGTCAAGTGGGTTATCAAGCATCGTAATGTCACTAGTACTTGTTATTTGTAATGTAAATTAAATTATGACATTTCTTTTCTTTTGTTCTCTTTTAGGTGGCTTCACATTAACAGGTATGAATTTTTCAAGTCTAATACCACCTAATTATAGTTTTTCTGTCAATGTCAACATAATACAGTTTTTAAAAATTATTTTCTTCTTTTATTTCTTTTTAATTAAGGAAAATACTTGTATGGTAAGATAATGCCTTTTAAAAGTTCTTACTTTTGCCCAGATAGCCTAAACACCAAACCAAATGTAACCCGAATTACTATTTAAGTGTGCCCCTTACTATCCTTTGGTTGATTTTACACATTAACAACAGCCTGTGTGTGTGTGTGTGTGTATGTGTGTGTGATATTTATTTGTAAGAAAACTCACAGGGACAGCCTCTAACTGTTCATATTTTGGAACTAATCTACAGGTACCTTCATAGCACCAAGAATTTGCCATATACTCTGATAGATGCTACACAGTGTACTAGAATAAGAAAGACGGGATTGCTGGTTCCTGATGGTGGATATGACAACCACACAAAGTTCATGGCCCAGGATCAACAGGATCCTAAAAGTAGATAGATGATGCCACATCAGAAGAGGATAACAATCCAAGCCCTTCTTTGATCACTTTGCTTAGTACTAATAGCATGGTAACAAGAACTCTCTCTGCTATTTGAGGTGCCTTACAAAGCCATACATAAGCATTCAAGATCCCAGTGAGAAAGCTTGAAATCTTTAATTTCAAAATTCTGCCATCTCAGAAGCTAGTTCCTTGTGCACAGGTGGAAATCATTCCTAAGGGCAGTGTCTTTCCGCCCTGCGTACCTTCTTACCTTTTCAGGATTGTTCCTGCAGATTTAGAGGGGAAGGTGACTACCCAGTAATGGCTCAAACTTGCCCGAAGCTGCAGGTTGAAAATGTCTCTAGCAACTCACTTAGATGGCCTTTTGCAATATGTGAGACAAATACCAAAATTTTCCAATGTATTGGGCAAATAGTAAATCAGAGAACTAGAAAAAAAAATATTTGAAGGGAATATTATCAAAATTTCTAGTCATGAAGACACAACGACAGGCTTGGAGTTGATATCAACCTCTGTTAGTATTAAGTCATGGACACTGAGTACCAGGGTGGCTCTGCCCAGAGAAGAACTTTCTATGTATGGCAGTTCTGTATGGATGACTGCCCCCTACTCGTCTCTAGACACCCGCAAATGACAGAATCACTCATAGACTCTCAGAGACACAGAAATTAGAAATACTTAAAATGTTAAACATGGTAGTCTCCTTACAGAAATCCCTGAATCTGACTCAGCCGAGCCTCTCCCAACTCAGATTTTCCAGATTCGGCCCTCCAGGAATTGTCCAGATATATACAGAAAATGGTAGAAAAATGGCGCTGTGGATTGTCTTTCTAAAGAAACCATAGTCTCTAGAAATAGCACATCAAATAGCTGTTCCTTACACTCTATGCAACCTGGTGAGACTCTACACAGTTTCAGTCCAGAGTGCATGTATGTCTTTGGCCATCTTGCATTATACATGTGAGGATTTCATTTCTAAGGCTTTCTTTTCATGCCACTTGAACCACCCTCCCTTGCAGTATCTCAGTCAGTAGGATCCTCATTTTCTTTTCTTACAGATCCTATCCATAGCTTTCCATATCCCTCATATCAGCATTTCCTGCCTTGGCTGCATCCTGCATCCAACATGATACAATCTCTTTCTCTAAAAGCTTCTACAATCTGAGTAGTTCCCTGGGTCCTCCCTATGGCTGGAACTTTAGCCAAAATAAGAAGTCTTTTCATTGTTGACATCTCCCAATACATAAATCAATGTGGTTAGAATGGGAGGATTATTCCAGAACTCTCTAGAAATTTCTACATTGGCCTAACTGTTACTTATCTGGATACTGTCTAATTTCATATTCTCCTCCTCCCATAAAACCAGAAATACCAGGGTTCAGTTGCTACTGATGCCTCTAAGAAATTTCTGCAACTTAGGTCTGCACAGGGAGCAGCGGCAACAAGGCCTAGAGAGTCCTCTTTGGAGTCACATTGAAACTTGGAAGTCAAGGCTTTGAGGTACAAGGAGGAAGAGAAGAATTAATGTAGCCTTTGGACTTAGCCTGCAGGTTTTCCATGAACTTGCATGGACGAGTACAGATGTGGAATTTAGAAAAAGTATATATGGAAATGAAAAAAAAAAACCATTTGGTCCACAGCCTCACAGCAATAGCTGAGCCCTCGTTAGTAATAGACATGGAATGCTGGAGGGGCCTTTGAAATTTGCAAACCTCCACCTGCTGTTCTAGCCCTTGTCTTACCAAATGACCTGTGCTTAAACCTATGCACTCATGCCCCTCTGACTTATGGTTTTATGATAACATTATAACTCATTAGAGTTTATAATGAATATTATTTTATCCCCGTTCTCTCAGTCTTTATTGTGCACACTTACAGGGGAAAAAAAAAAAGAAAGGTTCAAAAAGATTAACCTTGGATATCTCATCCAAGATGCTGACAGCCACATTTTCGACTCTGAGTGAAAAGCCCTTTGGTGATTATCCCACCACTAGCCCTGTCATTTGGCTGGTCCTATAGTACGAACAATTTCCTTCTCTCTTTATCTTTACATTATACATTGGGCCCTTTATCAGTCTATATAACTATATCTCATAAAGAGCAAGCATTATGAATGGCAGTCAAAGAACGTGTAAAGGAAAATGCCCCAAAGGGAAAATTAGATTACATAGGTAGAGATAACTTTAAATAAGATTCAGTATCCTGACTAAATCTGGAGAGGTGTATTTCCCCTAAAACTTCTAAGACTTGCAGCTATAGCTCTCCCTAAAATTTTATGGCATTCAATATATGTCCCTAATATTGCTCTTCTGATCATGCTGTGGTCTTGTAACAGACTTCAGATGCATGTCTATTTAAATGGGCCAAACTTTGAGACTACTGACACTTGAGAACACTTCCACCGCTCCAACGTATGGGTTAGAGGGGTAAAGCCCCTCCATCAAAGTTGCCTCATTTTTACAGACAAGAAAGCTGCATCTCCAAGAGGCAGAATTCCTTGCCCATATTTAAGCAGAAAACAAGTGGCAGGGCTGGCCCTGAGTCCAAGATTCCAGAGTCTCAGTTTCGTTCTCGGTAGCTCTTTGTAGATGAAGACAAGGTGGACCTGGCAACCACCTGGACAAGAACAGTGAAAGTCTGAGGCCTGGTTAATGGATCTGCTGGGGAATAATGACTTGTCCTTATTCCATGGAAACATAAATGATGCTTTCCAGTCTGCACAGGAAATGGATGTAGTGAGCACCTTCATAAGGGTTCTGTATTTCCTGAACTTCAAAGAAACGTGTAACAGAAATGGAGTAGATACTACCTGCATTTATATGTGGGAAAATAGAAAAGATGGCCTACTATACAGATGGCACCAATTGGCTTCAAAAATTAGAACACAAGTCATTATGCCAAGTGCTTTCTGTTGTCTTATGATGCCTCTGGAACCAGTTATTGAAGGACCTGGCTCATCCATTTCAAACTCTTGCTATACTGATTGCACCTCTCACCCCAAGGAAAGAGATTCGTTTTCTCATCCACCAAACTTAATCAAGCATGATTGGGTTTGTCTTATGGACCATTTACCTCCAATTTGTGGGTGGCAATCTCTATTGGTAACCACCAGAACTCCCCCTTGTGGCCTACAGGGGGTGACCTGTAACCAGCCACACTAACATGGCTTGCAGTGTGTGCGTCTAGGTGCTGGTTTTGCTTACTAATTTCCAAAGGCACTGAGAGCTAAGCAATGTGATCCATCCTGCTGATTTTCTGCCTGTCCTTTTGCTAGGCCAGCCTCTCTTCAGGAAGGTTCAAGCTAGAGACCATCTGCTTCCCTCCACTGTAATCACCATTTCAGGTACTCGTTTTACTGTGGCCCTTGAGAGCCACAGCCTTCAGGTATATGCTTTATTAGAATCATAGATGGCATTCCCTGGGTCTTCTGAGATAATGCCGATTGGTGAGTGACTCCTCTGACAGCTGGGATACTGTGAGTGATCAAGAATCAAGGGCAGTAGGGAGAGATAATATGGACCCACAGAGAGGTTGATCCAATGCCTTCTTTCTCTCCGATTTTAATATGTTTCAAATTTCTTGCAAATATCTCTTTTACATGTAAGTTTTATATCTAAGTGTAATGAAAATTCTTAAGAAAAAAAAAGCACAACCAAAACGGGTGTGTTTTCCACCAGAATTGTGCCTTTCCTGGTGTACAAAGAAACAGAGCCGCCCAAGGATCACACAGCCCCCCTGGTTCTGTGAGGCATCACAGTGTACTGGTCAGCTCCTGGTGTGGAGTCAGTTGCTGAGGACAACAGTACCTCCTCCTTCAGTCATCACTGTTGCCCATCACTGACCTCGTGGTGGAAGTACCTCTGCCTGACCCTGAGGGTCCCCCTCACCCTCACAAACCATACCTCCACCCAACAATCACAATTCTCAGCTCCCACTACCAATTTTCCTCTTAAAAGATTCCTAAAAATAAAAATTTTCCTGGGTTCTAATCAGAGAGGCCAGCTGGGGCTGAAACATTGTCAAGTGACCTGTTAGGAAAATAATCCTGAGAAGGTTTTCCCATCACCAGCCTTTTCCCCACCTTCTAAGTCCTATATTGTTTTTTTGGTACTAAGACAAAGTAACAACGAAAAGACAGCTAGGACACTGGCGCCTTGACAGACCTCTGCGCTGAACGGGCCATGTGGGTGAGAGTGCCCTCTAAAAGGAGGATCTCCCCTCCCCCCTTCATCACTACGATGCTACTTCAAGGTCCAGCGTCAACCAGGAAACATTAGAAGCAGTTTTACAAAATTCCATCTACTTTGAGAACTCACGTACCTAAAGCTAATGATTTTTGTTGTTTATAGACATCAATCACTATAAAGGATTGTGTCCATGCAACACCAGCTTGTACTATGGTTGCTGACAACGCACAGGGTCAACAACTGGTGAGCTTTACCAGTATACACATGTGCATCAAGAGAGACAAAGAGACCCAGAGCTACACACAGAGAATTAATTTGCTCTAAGAAATGGAACTCAGATTCCATTGTGTTGTCACTCTATATAGGCAAGGAAATAAAGTGACCTAGGCTACAAAGAAGTAATCTGCTTTGATCCATTTGTCAAAAGAGAAAAAGAAACAAATATAGTAATCAATGCTGAAAAATGGTGTTAACCATTTCCCTGTTTAATAAAGCCTCGCCTAAGGAGAACACTGGGGGGAAAAAGGTTCAGCTCTTTTCTTTGTCACCATAAAACTCTACATCGACTAAGTGGTGGTGGCACACACCTTTAATTCTAGCAGTTGGGAGGCAAAGACAGGCAGATCTCTGTGAGTTCAAGGCCAGCCTGGTCTACAGAGTTCTAGGACAGGCCAAAGCTACAAAGAAACCCTGTCTCAAAAAATTAAAAAACCAACTCTACTGCTAATATATCAGTACTGTTGTGGATCAGCCATAGGATTTATCCACTTGCCACCTCTCAACTACACAACTGTAACAATCTCTTAGATGTACATATTAACTCATCAAATGAAAATAGCCCTGACCTTTCCATGATGCTGTGTCCATGTCCAAACTATGACCACTCATCTCTGCACCTCCTAGTCATCCTTGCCATCATAATCACCTGGAAAGCTCTCTACATGCTTCAAAGATAGCTTCAAATTAATCCTCTGTCCTGATACTTTCCATGACTTCTGTAGGCAGAAAGAAAAATTCTTCCCACACTGGTCCCACAGTCACCGCCACACTGATTCTGGTTCTTCATTCATATGCCTCTTTTCCCACTAAACCAGAAGTTTCTGGAAGGTAACTGAAGAAAGAGGAGGACTGTGTCTGTGCTGATATATTCTAAGAGGACAATACCATGTGTTTAAATAATGGATGGTCTTTTTATTTTAAAAAAAATGAGCAGATGAAAAATATTACTAACGGTAACTTGAAGAATCTCATAACAAATACTTGAGTAATTTTTCAGTATTCCATACATTGTACTAGACATAAGCAAAGACAGCCCAAAGAGTGCTGAGGCATACCCTAGCTCTGCAATCCTACAGACTAGCTATGTGTATGTAAAGATAATTTAAAATAATCCCAAAGCCACATGAAACCATTCAACACACAGTAGATATTAAAGAATTGAGTGATATTTACTAAATCCCAGTTGTCAGCTGGCATACTAATGGAAGAAGGGCCTTAAATATAAGTAAATGAAGGTGTAGGAGTATTTCTTGGTAATTGCATAATGGGTAAGCCCATGCTTTGGAAAGAGAATTTAGCAAGAAATAGAAACAAGCTCCCTACCATTTCTTTATGTGAAGATCAAACCTGTTTAGACAAGATGTCCACATTTCAGCTTCTTATGAGATTTTTGTGAAGGTTAAATGCTAACCAAATTATAATGTACATCCCGTGATATTTTTAAAATTATCTTGTCTTTTACTTAATTAAAAAAATCTAGTAAGATTTTTCTCATAAGTGGAAAATAAGCTAATTATTTTTACAATGAAGAGAATGCCATTCAATTCTGGCTAGTCAAGCATTCTGTGCCTATAAACTATTTTATCTTAAACGAAAGAAAGCCAGATGTTGGGAAGCAGTTATGGACCTGGGAGTGTCAAACCATGTATTTGTTGCTGACCAGAAAGACTGAAGGATTTGGGGGGGGCACCTTTTCATTCATAGGATGGATTCAATTTCATTCACTGCCATACCCATATTATTTTTCACCATTTTCTGGATCTGCTTCATTCTGTGAGATGTTTCCATGAACAATCCCAGTACATATTTTCTCCCTAACCGCTATATGTTTTCTACCTAGATTACCTTGAGCCCCATTCAAAACAACTTATAGTTTCTAAGTACATCACAGAAGTGATGGCCACAATAAATATTCTCCCACACATAGCTTTGCACGTCAAATAGATATCTAAGTGGCAATATTTCTCTTGGGGGAAGTCATTTATTATTCAGGGTATGTCAGAGAGTTGGACACAGCCAGTGACATTGTCATGGACCCAATGATCAGAAAGCAGTGAAGAATCAAGCTATGATTGATTTGAACACTAGGTAAACTGACTTCACACATGGCCACCAATCCCTTGACTGAAAAACACAGGATTTCAGAAGGCAGTCTTGGAGACTCTACCTTTTGCCTCTCCTTGATTTATAGCTTCCCAATCCTTGTATAAAATCCCTTGCCACTCTTACAGTTAAAATTAATCTCCTTTTCTATCTGCTTTGCCTTTGCTCTTATTCAACAGCTTCTCAACAGGCCAAATAACTCATTTTCATTTTCCTTTGATTTGGTGGGATTAAAGACCACTGGGGATTTTAAATGCATTATTTTAGAATACATTACTAAGTGCATGCTAAAGAATGTGTTAGCAGAGACACTCTGCTTCTGCCATCCATTCCTTCTGACACATGAAATCAAAGGTGCTAGCTATACTTCCAGCCCCTCTACCCCTCAACCCCAGTCCTCACAGTAGACTGCTAGCCAAAAATCATCCCTTAAAACCATTGCTAGATCAATAAATAGAACCAACTATAGCCACAGGGTCCCAGAGCAGAGAGGAAGCTGTGTCTGTGCAGGAAATAGAAGGTACGAACCCCTGCTGATACTGATGTCTAAATGTAAAAGGCAGGTCAGGACGCCTGAACAAAAAAGTCAGCCCTTCCCAGTCTGGATGACTCAGACAACAGACTCCACTTACAGGCAATTGCCCAGATATCCTGGAGGCGAGAGCATCAGAGTGGAGGTTTTTCCATAGCAACACCTCTGCCTCCCTGGATATGAGTGCTTCACTGGGCTCTGAGGAAGTAGCCTATCATTTCCCAGCATCCTGGACCTGAAGGTCAAGGGTGATTACAAGTGTTTGCCCTCCACAGATGCTTGGCCTTGTCAGTCTGGGATTTATGCCAATGACTACCATGCAGAGAGAGACAACTGTGAGGTCCTCCTCATCAACAGACTCTTTCCTGAGAACCCTCCACCCCCTGCCTCTCCTAGAATGAGAGCTTACTTGGTGCTTCTGGAAGTAATCATTCCCACAGAGTGAATATTAGCTCCCCAAAGGCCTCACCCTCGCCCTCTCTGTTTGCTTTAAGATTAACATGGTCAGAGCTTCCCTAATACATTTCACCTTTGCACCCGAGAGAACGCACTGGGGCCCAGCCATCTCAAGGAAATGTAAAATGGATGTTTCAGAGCTGAACCTGTGACAGGGACTCTTGACAAGCGTGAAGCTACGAAGGAGATCAGAATGTCCTTCTCGTGTCTCTTTGGCCCTGAGGCATTTTCTGATGCATCTAGAAAGAGGAAAGGAAAAGGCCAAACTCTCACTTCCCTCAGGGTTACTTTAAGACTTTTAATTGTGTTTCCCTTTAGTCACGTGTTGGAAAAAATGTGTGCAGAACGCCAAACTGGCCAGCTTCACAGAAAACAGCTGGGTGATTCCCTTGGCACAAACAATATGCAGCAGGGTCCTTCTCAGTGACATGCCCTGACCATGGCTTTTCCCCATCCGAGCTTTCACATGAGATGAGACTGAACTATATTTCAATCCTCTGCTGCTTCAGTGTGGCGCTGCCCCATCGACCAAGCTCTGCCCCTTTGGCCCTCACCCTCCCTATCTCACCCAAGAGACTTTTAGTTGGTCCTTAGCACATCCTTGCTCCCTGCTTTTCTTATAGCAGGATCCTGGGACTTGCAAATATGAAGGAGCGCATTGTTCACACTCTTGCCTTCCCTTTCCCAGACGAGTATGATGACAAGCAGCCACTGACTAGCAAAGAGGAAGAGGAGAGGCGCATTGCAGAAATGGGGCGCCCCATCCTGGGAGAGCACACCAAGCTGGAGGTGATCATTGAAGAGTCTTACGAATTCAAGGTAAGCCTGTCAACACTGCCCACCCCATCAGCTTGCTCAAGGTGGTTCATTGTGGTCTGTGCCCTAAGAGCCTTCTGGGGACACTGGAAAATGTGATTTCACGTACAGGCTCATTCCCTAAAAGGCTGTCAGATCCAATTTGAAAATGTGGAGTTAGCAGAGAATCAAGAAATCCTGTACAGTAAACAGCATCATAGCCACAGTCCAGCAGGTGACATGCTCTGTGACCGAGTCAGAACTGTCCCCTGAAAGGAGGGCTTTGTCTCAAAGGAGACGAGAGAGAGAGAGAGAGAGAGAGAGAGAGAGAGAGAGAGAGAGAGAGAGATTTTTATGTATTAGGAAAAAGTCTGATGAATCTATCAGGATTTGTGGTGTGGAAATTCAAAGGCTGTGGTTTTGGAGAATGGTCCTTTATAGCTAAGCTGTTTGGACCTGAGAATGCTCTTTGGCACTGCCCACCAGAGAAGCATATCTACAACTATACAGTTTATTCGTGAGCTGATGAGACTGGATTCTCCAATTCTCTCCCTCCTTCCCTCCCTCCCTTCCCTCTCCCATCTCTCTTTCTCTTTTTGGTGTGATCCTCTATATTGAACCCAGGGATTCCAGTATGTCAGGCAAGCACTATACTACTGAGCTACATCATCAGTCAAGATTTAAAATTTCCCAGGTTATGGAAGTCATTCTTTTAAACGTTAAATATATGGGGATGAGATGAGCTTCAGATTTGAAGATGAAACCTGTGTGTCCCTCCTAACCCACTGTTCTGCCGCATCCCCCACACATAGCTTTTCTTGACCAGATCCTTCATATCTAAGAAAACTTGAGGTGCAGCCAACTTTAGTTGTACAATGGGATAAGAGACTGTGTATCTCTTCTAATAACATCGAGAATTACAAACCCGGAACAGAACAATATTTTCTTTCCTTGTTTTTCAAAAGGAGATGGTGCCTATTCAAACAATCAAAGAAAAAGAAAATAAAGAACCAGGCTCATATAGAAGCCTACGTGGATCTTTAGTACTAATTACCTCTTCCTTGTTGATTCATTAAATTTAATCCTCAGATTGAGTTGCCTTATAGGTAGTAAGTAACAAGGTGTCTTTGCAATTAAAATGGAATTTTTTAAAACCTTCTTCCGACCACTGAGCACCTATCTGTCTCTTGGAGTCAACAGTGGGATGAAGACTTCGGGACTGAGCCCACTGCCAAGCCCAGCATGGCATAGCCATGAGCCTGGCTCGGGAGGACATGGAGGGAACATGCCTATGCTCATGTGATCTCTGAGCAAAAGGAGAGAGCATCCTATGCTCATGTGATCTCCACGAATCTCCGTCTGTCGGTTTCTATAGCCCACTCCGTTACTCAGTGTCCACACGTGTCCAGCTGTCCTCTTCCTCCTGCTGCTTTTCCCAGTGGGAATCAAAGGGTTCGGTGTTGCCTGTCACAGCGGAGACTGCCATTTCTGGAGCTAATTCACTCCCGCATTTTTTATACACATTGTGTGCTCTCTGCCTTAGAGGAAAGAGCCATGGAAAGAACAATGCTAATGGATTCTTTAGAAAGTACTGCAGTTTCTTTATATAAGTCCACTTTACTGAGGTTTTTATTTTTTTATTCTTTAGAGTAACTTTGACTTCCATCTCAAGTTCACAAACACAGTCATCGTTAACTTTAACACCTAAAGGGCATCTTGGGGGCACGTTTTTCAAGGGCAGTAACATCACCATTGGCTTTCTTCACTTAGGAATTGTGTTTTTCTAGAATGTAACTTGAGACTTGTCCAAAGCTCTAGGAGAGCATGGTCTGCTCGGCATGTGCCCTCCTTCTACCCCCGCCTTCTCACCCACCATGCTAAGGCGGTGGCTTTACTAATGCCCACTCTCAAGGGTGAGGCGTTCATAACGTCTTGAGTGTCTCTCTCCAGGTGAATAGAGAGTAATGTCTGAACTTTAATTCATCTGGATTTACTCTCCTTCCTCACATAGATGAAGGAACCGAACTGCACAGCACTTGGAAAAATTTTGGCTCTGCCTCTCTGGTTCATGTTTACTACATTTTAATATATACTTGGGGTTTTCCACATCAATAAAGGTTAATTTTAGTTCCCCTTAAAAGTTTGATCTTTAGCAGTCATTTTATGGGGAAGTCCGTGTTCCTCTGCTGGAGCGACGCGCATCTGCTTATCTCTCAGATGAGGGGGTTCTCGGACCTGGCTACGGCACAGTGTGTTCTCTCCCCCTTAGAGAGAGAGACTCCAAGTTTCCACTCCATGCAGGAGAAAAACTGAGCTCATTTCTTCTTACATTCCACACAGCCCTTTGAATTGGCATCAGCCAAGATGCTCAGAGTACAGGGTGAGATGTGCCTGAGTTGAGAGAGAAAAGACAGATGCCTGCCGTGTGTCTCAATTTATCATTCCCAAGAGCAATGATTCAAACTCTTATCCAGGGGCACTAGCAGTTCTGGATACCAGACAAGAAGCTGAGAGGTCAGCCCCCTCCCCAACCCAAGGACATATTAGCTGGCCACCAATAACGTTGCAGATACAGAGAGCGCTAGTTGGAGATGGGTCCTTCCATGTGTCATTTCTTCTCAGTGTTGTAAAATCACTTCCAATGACGCATTTAGAACTAACAGGCTCAGCCAATATTGTCAGCTCCCTCAAACCCATAGTTCGGTATCCTGCGCTGAACACGTATAAGTCATTACCTAAGGCAAATAATGTGTGTTTTCTGCCTCTTTGCGATTAGTGGAAATTCGAGGATGCTCTGACAGTAAGTGTGGGGGTTTGGTAGACTAGTTGGTGCTGTAGTTTCCCTGGGAGGTGCAGCCTCGTTGCCCTGGAAATGTCCCTTTTCCCTGTAGTTGCCATGATTTGTGGTAGCGCTTTGACTGTATGGCTTACTTAGTTTCCTTGTGAGCGCTTGGCAAGCCCCGTTGTTTTGTTAACCAAATTTAGAAAGTTGGAGAGTGCTCATTGCACAAAAACTAATTGCCCAATAAGTTCTAAAGTAAAAGAAGGGGCGGGCACCTCAGTGCTATTAAAGTATGGAAATCTGGTGCATGGTTATTAGCAGCGTGCCCTTAGCTACAGGTGTTGACTTTCGCTTGTCTAATGTGCTCCTGATGGAACAGCAGTCGGGTGAGAATAGAACTGCCTGGATATTAGCAAGCTGAAAAATACAATGACCTCTCTGCACCCCCACCACCCCCACCAAATCATCTGTTTGTTGTTGATCAAACAGCAAGCAACCTTAAACCCTGCTACCTGGCTTTCTTTTTGCGACAAAAATATAGCAAGATGTCTTCCATCTCAGATCTATCACTTCCAGGCGGTCACAGACACTAAATACTAGACAGGGCCAATATTGATTCACTCGCAGACAGCCTGCCAAAGGGAGTCAAGTTGGCCGCACTGTTGAGGGGTGCAGCTGACCTTTCAAACAGCTGCTGTTGGAAACACTGGAGGTGCTCCTGATTGGTCACTAGGCTGTAAAGAAGGCTAGATTTCTCTGGGCAGAAGTTCCCATTTCAGAGTGTTTCCAAAGACCACGATTGTTTGCATAATCGGGACAGTGTTTGCTATGGATAAATTTCTTCTGAGATTGACATCCGCTACCCCTTTATATAACCCTGAGGCTTCCAAACAAGGTTTTAGATTTCCTGAGGCCTTCACAACTCCAGAAGTTATTGTCTTTATCCCTTTGCCTCTTCTAGAGCACTGTGGACAAACTCATTAAGAAGACGAACCTGGCCCTTGTGGTAGGGACAAACAGCTGGAGGGAGCAGTTCATCGAAGCGATCACTGTCAGTGCAGGTGAGTGCCTCCCTCTGTACCCTGTGAGGAGGTGGAATGGCCAGTCTCGACTAAGTTTTCCGGTTTTGCCACCGGCAAAACACCACATGTGGCAAAATGAAGAGAAATCAGAATATCCCTTACCTGTATCCGTTTATAGTTCCCTTTGGAGGGTAGACAGGATGAATTTAAACCCATTTGTGTCTTATTTTGACGTTTAACCAACCATGGGGAATTTGTCTGGATCCCTGAAAGCAGCACACATTGGCCAAGGGGAGGTCAAACAGGAGCAAGTTCATGGGAAGAAAAGGAAGACATTGAGACCTTTGTGCCATCATTTTGCGTCCACCCCTAAGGCATCGAACATCTTAGAGTTTGCATTGGCTCTGAGGTGCACACTGAAGCATGTTGCGGTTCTTCCTCTACAAGCAAAGTACGGCGTTTTCTTTAGGAATATCCTGCAAAATGAACCTGAGGATAAGAAATAAAGAAAGAGTGCCACCCTTCCTATGCTGCCAAGCCTTGTCCACTCTCCCTGTGTACAGACATAGAGGGAGTCACTTACATTCATCAGAGCAACACTGGTTTGCATTTTTTGTCTCCTTTTTCAGCTCTTCTCCTCCACTTACACTAGTTCTTTCCCCCAAATCCCCATAGGCTTATCTCACGGCAGCCAGTCAACAGAGCTAGGGGTTTTGAAGGAGCGGGTGATTCCTAAGCTGTAAAATATGGCAACAGCATCATCACCAGCAGATAGGCCGTAGCTTCTGTCACAGCCTACTCTTTCCAACTGCCACACTACACTTGGATGGATCTCCCTTCTGCTGTGGGAACAGAGAGTGGTTTTAAAAAAGTGTAGTTGTTTATTGCTAGTGCTGGCCGTCACCATGCTGTGGTTTCTTGCAGTCAAGTATACAGTGGGAATGTATGAGCACTAAACAGTAGAATACTATTGGGAGAGTGGATTGAAATCTTTCATGTCAGCAGTAGTAGAAGAAGATGGAAACACCCCTTGGGTGGCTTATGTTTTTCTAGAAATCCAAGATGAGTACCCGAGACAGGAGCGTACTTCCCTCTGCCCAGAAGAACTGAGCAGACACTAACACTGACGCAGTAGTAGGAAGTGTCAAAAATGACCAAATTGTTATGGAGCTTTGAGGTACTCAGATTGCAACATGAAAGACCACATAACACTATGTTGAAGCTTGTCCAGAAGAATCCAGGCCTTCTTTAGCTGTGGATATACAAACATTTGTGTAATGGCTGTGTGCTGGTTACCAGCCCCTGGTCTGTCTGTGTCTGTCGATGCTCTTATGGGGGCAAATGGAATAGACAGATACTACTGCTAAAAGTCTAATATAGGAACTTACTTTTCTAGTGTAGGAGAGAGCAAGTAAGACACATAGTTCACGGGTGTCTGATCATAAGCTTTGGCTAGAGAAACTGGGAGTGCGGAGGGAGACAGGGAGTGTGCAGGTGACCCCCATAATTCCATCAGAAGACCATTTAAGGGCAAATTTGCTTTCCTAGCAACAGAGTGGCTTTGTGTTCTTAGATATTTTCGTAGCTTTTAGCAAGTGTGCCAATTACTTCAAGACTGCTTTAAGCTAATGACACGGTGCAGTGTCAAAATGTGAGGGGGATTATGTGACAAGCGGAGTATTTTGGACAAGGCCAAAGCCATGCATTTGAAGCTTAGGTATGAAGAAAAACAAGTATATAGATGTTGATACTTCCTTCATTAAGAGTGCTGGAATTACAGTTGTAGACACTGAAGAAATCCCTTCCGATTCCCATGTAGTACGTCCATTGGTTGTCCTTACTGTATAGATGGAAGAATCTACATAGTTCAGAGACACAGCTCGGCTCTAGAAGGGAGTGTGTGTGTTTGTGTGTGTGTGTGTGTTTGTGTGTGTGTGTGTGTGTGCACATGTGTGCACATTTGAAGGCCAATAGCCCATGTCCTAATGTCTTTCTTAATCACTCTGTACCTTATTTTTTGAAGCAAGATCTCTCATTGGGCCTGGAGCTCACTGATTCAGCTAGACTATCTGGCTAGCAAGCCCCTGGGATGCATCTGTCTCTGCCTCCCTGGTGCTGGTATTACAAGCATACAGCACCTTTCCCAGCTTTTAATATGGGTGCTGTGTATTGAACTCCCATCCTCACACTTGCCCGCTCAGCCCTCTACAGCTGACCCATCTCCCCAGTCCTGATCTTGAGCTGTGGTCTGCTGAGAAAAGCCACCATGTGCCAGTGACTGTCTCAAGAGACAAAGCTATCACCATTCTATAATGAGTCTTAACTCCAGCACTGTGTGTGTGTGTGTGTGTGTGTGTGTGTATTACTGAAGATTGCACACAGGGTGTTAGATATGCTAGACAAGCTCTCTACAACACATCGAGTTATGTCCCTAGCCTTTTTTTAAATTTTGAGGCAGCGTCTCAATAACTTGCCCACACTAGCCTTGAACTCATCCTGTAGCCTGAAGCTTTGCATCCTTCCAAGGTATTACATGTGTGTGACAACTCACCCGCCTTCAGTTCTTTTCAAAATAGTTAATTAGTGACATGCAAAATCTCCCAAGCTTTATGGATTTTTTATGCATATGTGTGCATGTGTCTTATTCATGTATATGTTTATAAATGACTTCTTAGAGACAGACAATGTTTAGAAACTTGCCTTTTTCCTGAGCTAATTGACCTTATTTACAATTTTGAGCTAAAGAAGATCTGAAAAATAAGCAAATAGTGTATAGGCACTAAATTACATTAAATTACACGAAAGACAGTTTTCAAAGTGCAGTGTTTGTAATTATAACTGAATTTAAGTGCCTTGGGAATGCTAATATTCTCAGGTTGTTAAACAGACAATAAAATTTGTAAAGCAGCATTTATTGAAGGCAGACTTTCATTGGATTTTTAAGATTTCATGGCTAAATAGTTGAGAATCAGAAAGATTTTCCTTATTAAAAATATTAAATTGTCTTTGAAGGGCTCTGCCGAGAGTCTTTTCTTCCCAAGCAATTTTCTGTGCAAAATTGAATCTATGTGTCTTGTGAAACAAAAGTAATAATTTTGTAAATGGAATTTGGCTTCTCTCTCTCTTTCTGTCTCTCTCTTCTTATTAACTATCTCAAAACTCATTTCAAAGTAACTAGCTGATAACGTTGTTTCCTACCTGCCTGAACTGCACAGCGCAGTATCTGGGCTTCCTCTGACCATGATATATCTGCTCACCAAGTTCTGACAGTTGAGTATTTGAAAAGCTGAAAGACTCAAGAGATTCCGAAGATTAGGAAGGGATTACACAGTCATGTTCCAGCAATTCTCCTTCTGTTGCTTTCTGGGTAGAATACCAGAAGCAGTCATGTGCCACAGTTGAATGGCTGACAAATCATGTCAAGGCAAGCCCAGTCCCACCAGGTACTTTTAGGATGTGTCCACACATGCACTTCTCAATGAAGCTAGCACTTACTGCCTATCCAACTTGAGTTCCGTTCCACCACCCCCATTCTTCTTTCTTCTTTATGCTCCCCCATCCAGAGAAGCACTTTTAGGTTGGTCTTAAGAATCAAGTCTCAGTCATATAGGGGAAGCAGGAATATCAGCATACAGGGCAAACATAAGCTGGGTAAAACCCACTAGGATGCTCTCATTTCCGCAGCCTCCATCTTGCTATTCGTCACTTTAGCCTCTGGCTAAGGAAGGGTGTGGGAAGTCACAGCAAGGCCAGCCATGCACACAGATGGAGGTGTGTGACTCTGGGTGACTCAGCAGATTATCACGCATGCATACCTTCCCCTCATCTTTGTTCCCTCATGTGTAAAGGGGAGAAAAACATGCCTAATCCATGAACTCACCATAATTTTTACAGGTATAGGTAGTTCAACCTTGGTTGGACTTCCCATTTCATGGGAGTACTGAACATGGCATTTTATATACAAGAATACTGAGATCAGAGAAATATTATAACTCAAGACGAACACTGGAGAGGGGCAGTGCTGAGGAACAGGTCAGCTAAGGAAGATCTCCATTGTGAAGTATGAACTCATGGGCAAGGCCTAAGGCCTGAGTGTGTATACACAAAAATATGCACATGGTAACACATAGATCCATCGATCATGTGCATAAGGGCAGATGTGCAGACAATAAATGCACGCCTTAAGTGCCTGATAATCTGTGACTTTCTAAAGAAGAAATGCATCCCACTAGCCTTTATTTCACTTTAAAAACCCAGAGTAAAAAGTTTTCTGAAATAATTTTAAGTATGATCTTTGTGCATTTTACATAGCACCTATTGGCATTTTCACAATGAAAAGCAACGCACACACACATAAATATGAGAGAGAAGAGAGAGCTCTCAAAATGACCAGAAAGAAAGTCCTTCTTGCTTTCTTGGTTCAACTTCTGGAAATAACCTTGACCAAGTAAATAATTTTTCTGACTTTGAGTCTCATCAGTAGAGGCATGAGAGGGCAAGGCCAGGTTAGCACTAAGGTGCCATCTCATACCGAGACCTAGGAACTCAGCCAGTGGCCATCCCATTCCAACAGTATTCCCTGGTAACACTGTGCTTTGTTATGGAGAAACACGCCCTGCCTACCCACCTGCCCTGCCCAGATTAAACATTCAGAACAGTATGATACATTGTATGTCTCTGCTCCCAGTATTGAAAGGATGAGGACAGATAGGCCTGAGTTAGGCTCAGAGGAAAAGAACTGAGATGATAAAGACGCAGAAGTGTTGGTTCCCTAACTGTCTTTCTCTAAGGCCAGTGGAAACTTCACTGTATATGAGAGATCACTCAATACTAGCCCAGTTTGGCTCAAGTAGCTGCTGAGCCCAGCCTGAAGACAGGTCACGGTGGATGGATCACAACAGGACATAGCCAAATGCACCTGGAGACTGGCCACAGTGTAGGGGTTGCTGCTCTTTCCCAGTTTTTTGCCCATAGATTTGCTGGGTGGATTGGGAAGGTTCTCAATGAAAACAGTGTTTAATTTCCAAAGCTACCAACTC